GAGTCCTAGTGAACTCCAAGATGAACATGAGTCAGTGTGACGAAGTCATCAGAAAAGCTAACTGCACTTTATCATGCATTAGCAGATGCATGACAAACAGAACCAAGGAGGTGATACTTCCCCTCTATCGGGCGTTGGTCAAACCGCAGTTGGAATACTGCGTGCAGTTTTGGGCGCCACACTTCAAAAGGGATGTGGATAACCTGAAGAGGGTCCAGAGAAGGGCCATTCGTATGATTACGGGCTTGCACGCCAAGCCCTACAAGGAGAGACTAGGGCACCTGGACCTCTTCAGCCTCCACAAGAGAAGGTTGAGAGGCGACCTTGTGGCTGCCTACAAACTCATCATGAGGGTGCAGAAGGGAATTGGTGAGGCTCTACTCACCAAGGCTCCCCTGGGGGTCACAAGAAATAATGGCCATAAGCTAGCAGAGAGCAGATTTAGACTGGACATTAGGAGGAACTTCTTCACATTTAGAGTGACCAAGGTCTGGAATGGGCTCCTAAGGGAGGTGGTGCTCTCCCCTACCCTGGGGGTCTTCAAGAGGAGGTTGGATGGGCATCTGGCTGGGGTCATCTGAACCCAACACTTTTTCCTGTCTATGCAGGGGGTCAGACTTGATGATCTGTTGAGGTCCCTTCCGACCCTAACATCTATGAATCTATGAATCAGTGTCATCTTAAGGCATAATCCCACCATGGGCACATACACCCCATGCATTGCTCCCTTCATGTTGCTGCTGTCTCCATACTGTAGGAACGCTGGCGAGCCACCGCAGAGCAATCCAGAGTAGAATCTCTACAGCACTCGCTAGAGGAACAGAGGAGGGTCATGACGCAGCAGCTCGCCATGGAGAGGGAAGAACTGGAGAGGGCAAAGGTGAGGCATTTAACCCAAACAGTGGTTTCCAGGAGTTCATTAATTTCAGTGGCATCAGAGCCAGGATTGCTTTTACTTGCAAGGAGCTCAGAACAGAGGCAAGCCCAGAGCGAAACCTGTGTGGATTTTAGTGTCACATGCAGTTATTAAGATAGTGGGAGAGGAAGATTTGGGGTGAGAAGGTGTGGTGCTAGGCCGAGATTTGGTGCCTGGAACTCTAGAGATAGACCACAATGCTACAAAATCATGTTAGTCAGAAGCTGAGACCAACATCAGGCACACTTGTTCCTCTTGGGCAAGACATGTGTTTTTCTGTAGCTCTGTTCCTTGGTCATGACAGTCTCTATGACCCTGAGGCAACCATACCTACATCTCCCTTCACTGGAGGACTCCCCTCACCCCCTCTCCTAACCCCTCTCCACCATGCTCTTTTCTGTCAGAGTGCCTTGCTGGAAGAGCAGAAGTTGGTCATGCAGAAGTGTGCAGCAGAGCGGCAGAAGCTCTCCACAGAGTGGCTGGAGCTCCACACCCAGCAGAGGCTAAGCAAAGAGCGCACAGAGCGGGAGGTGGACCGTGCCCTGCAGATGGATTCCCAGAGGGAAGGCACCATTATGACTCTGGCTAAGGTGCAGCAGCAAAACACTGTCCCACTGCAGGGCTTGAATTCAGCTTTGGCAACGGATTTGATAAAGCAGCTGGACAGTCAGACACACAGCTTCCCAGGCAGATCCCCCCACCAGAGATTTCACATGGCAACAAAAAAACTTAGCCTTTCCCTATCCTTTGAGTTATGGTCCTAGTTCTGTTCCCTACAGAAATCTCACCCCCCACACAAGCAAGTGCTAGAGCAGCCAAAGAGCAGGCTATTTATAAATACTTGGGGAAGAGGACTGGCAATCCAGGGTTAATATCACTATTGCTGATAATATCACTAGCCACTGGTGTTCATGCATGTTCTCTCTATCCAGGACTTGAGCGATAGCCTGTTGTGTTATCCCTCTAACTGCTGGCTGTGGAACAGCTCTGCAGTCTTAGCAGATGTTGGTTACCCCCCTGGCTACTGATATGTACAGTTCTGGCCTGAAGCTTGTATCCCTGCAGCATGGGGAAGACAGGGCTTTGAAGAACATAGGGGTAAAGGGAAACCTCACCACCTTTCCTCTGCTTGGGCCAGATTTCTGTTGGGCACTGTAAATGGAAGCTGTGCATATTAGCTGGAAACTTCTCTCTGCCAACCAGAGCCAGGACCTTTAGTTAATGTGGGATGTGGAAACTGAGTCTTTTTCATCCCCAATCTCCCTGGTGAGAGCATTAAGTGGGACAAGTTGTTATAGAATTATATGTGTGGTTCCCTCTCTAGGAGCAGGCAGATCTGAAGATCAGAGCCAGCGAGCTGCGAGCCAAGGAGGAGCAGCTAGCAAGAGAGAGGGAACAGCTGGAGCAGGAGAGGCAGGAGCTGAGACTTGAGAAGGAAAGAGTCAACACTGCCGCCTTGAACATCAAACAGAGGGCAGAGGAGATTGACAGCATGAGCAAGGTAGGAAGGACCTCCTGCCCTCCCTTCTCCCCACATTGCATCTTGGACATCCAGAGCCATGCTCCTTTCCCTCCCAAGAGAGGAAAAGTGGGAAATGGGCAGCAGTGGTCTAGGGCCTTGAGAATGGACTGTCAGTTTTGACTCTACCATGGACTCCTTGACTCCTTGAATGACCTTGGGTGTGTCACTTAATTCTCTCTCTCTCTCTCTCTCTCTCTCTGCTCTGACTCCCTGTCGGGGGAGAGGGGAGGCATTGATTGCTCCCTTCCTCCCTCAATAAAGACCTCAAAATGTTTTAAACTGCTGTAGCTCATCACCCAAATTATTGGTATCATCATAGAAAAAAACCATGAGAGTTCTTTGCCCTTGAAGTGAATTGACCTGACTTTGAGCATTTTAAAGAGATCCAGGGAGCAGGGTGAAAGAAAAAGGACCTATGGAGGGAGGAAAGGAGAGGAGCTGAGGATGGCAAACAGGACCTTGCACCTCCACTCACAGATTCGTATCTGGTAGCCATCAGTGCCCCATGTGAAATGAAGGCAGTATCAGCAGAGTAAAGCACCATGGCAGAGTGGCCATGGATACAGAGCAACCCACACAGTTACAGTGGGCAGAGGAAAATCCCTCCAAGCCCAGATTGAGACCCAGGTTGCTGAGAAGTAGCTGGCCCTGCTGCTGGTCTGGTGGGCAAAGAGAAGGCGAGAGAGACTGGCAGGCTCATGGAAACCCTTCTCGTTTGGTGTACAAGTTCCCACCTGAGCACAGGGCAGGGCCTGCCAGGTAGGTGCCCATATGCACGCCCCCAGCTGTGCGCTGTCCTGCCCCTCCCCACCCAGTCCTCACAGGCTTCCCTGTGCCCCACAGCTGTCCTCGCAGAAGTACGAGGAGGGGGGGAGGGCCCTGCTAGAGGCCAGGAAGGTGGAGTCAGAGCATCAGGAGAGACTGCGCATTGTGCAACAGCAAATGGAGCGATTGAAGCAGCAGGAGCAGCATCTGCACCAGGTAATGAGATCCTTCCCTTTTCCCCCCCCTCTTGTTTTTCTCTCTCTGCTGCCAACTGCCACAACCCATTCACATGGCCTTTTCTCCTGTCTCTTTCTGGGGATGGAGTAGGAGCGCCTGAACTTGGCTCATCAGAGGAGACAGCTCGAACAGCTGCGTGAAAAGCTTCCCAACAGCCCAGTGCTGTTACTGCCCAAACCAGGTGCTCAAGCCAAGACCCTCTCCCATCCATGCTGTGAGCAGAAACACTACCCAGCGAGGAAACGAGATGAAGGGAAGTCATCCTTGTGTGTTCGGGTCAGGGGGGTTGTTCTCTGGCTCTCCCACATATGTAAACCTCAGAGTTGTTTCAGTTGTGCAGCCTCTTCCTCACAAAGGGAAAACAAGCTTATAATCATGAGAAAATAGGAAAGACACTTTGAGAGGTTAAGTAGTCCAAGGCCTACCTGACCCAGTCTTTGCCGGTGCTTATCTGTTCTGGCAGTTGGGAAGTTTTGCCTGGTATCCAACCTAAATTTCCCTTATGCCTGTAACTTCTTATCCTGTTCCCAAAGGTTAGTGGCCATAGCAAGGGATTGGGAGTCAGTGCTCCTGGATTCTAGTCCTGGTTCTGCTTGTGGACTTGCTGCATGGACACAGGGGATGCTGGATACCTCTTCTTACCATCCCCATCTGCTAACTGGTAGTTGAGAGAGCAGACAAATGGTCGAGGCTGTCAAGTGCTGTAGGACCTTCAGATTCAGGAAGTTGTGGAAGTACCATGTATTCATTATTAATCGATTCCCAAAATTTCCTCCATCCCTACCTGGGAAGAGGGTCCTCCGTGCTACTGTTGTATGGAAACATTGGGGCACCTATTGTCTCTAGACAAGCTGGTAGGCCAGGTTTCCTACCTTCATCTCTTAGTCTTTCTCTGTGTAGAACATAGGAGGTTGCAGGTCACTAACAGCATGTAATCGGTGTGACTGTGCTTTCTCCACAGATTTAACTCCTGTTATGCAGTTACCTAGGCACAACCCTGGCCAGATAGGAATCCCCGAGGGCACTGCAGGACAAGGTCCCTCTGAGTTGTACGCCAGATTGATGCTGCTTAAGTACACAGCTGACCGGGTAAACACAGGTTCCACAGAGCCCAATCCAATAGGAAAAGGAACACCAGCCCTGGGCCTGCTACTGAGCTGATGCTCAAAAGCCTGTACCAGGAGGGAATGAAGGGAGATCCCAAGGCCACAAAGTACTGGTTGGGTTTTCTTCTAAGATCATGACTGGGCAGTAAACCCATTTGTTCTGTGCTATAATGGGAAAGGGTCTTTTGAGAGGCAGATATGTAGTTCTTCCCAGTATGCTTAAAAAAGAAGCAAATGAACAAATAAAAGCCACTGCAGCCATAAATGATCAGACAGCCAGGTCTTCAGAGCTACTGGCTAGTTGACTTGCTTCAGCTGGGCTCCCAATCACATTTGATAACCTCATTGGCCCCACAAAGGAAGGGATGTTCCTCTCTCGAGATCTCTGAGACCATCGGGTAAAGGTAATTCATTCCTGTCCTTGTGATCCCCTGGGGTGTCTATCCCCTCCGGGTTCTCCAGTCACTCATCTGCTCTTCCATCAGGTTCCCTGTTTAATCAGGGTTCTGGATTGACCCTTTTGAAAAGTCTCACTCATTCTGGGAGGGAGAGGGAACACCCTTACAGTCCTTGTCTGTGTAGATCTCATTAAAGGCACGTGGGCATCTCACACGTGAAATTCACATGTGAGCACCCTCAGTAGGATTCATGAAGACGAGACATTTTTCGGAATCCCAGTTACCCTTAGATAGGTAGCCGCTCTTTCTGATGCATTCAGCTTTCAAGGCTTGAGTTTGGCTGCTTTGTTGACGTTCATCTGACATATCCTTTACCCAGCCACCCCTAGCTGCTAGGTCTGTGGGTATCTGGAGTCTCCCCTCAACAAGCTCCAGGCACAATTGATGGTGGAACTTCCCTCCTCTCTCCCCAGGACCGGGATTTCTTGGAAGATGAACAGTTCTTTTTGGAGACCCTGAAGAAAGCTTCCTACAACACTTCTTCCCAGACAGCATGAGGAGAGCTCAGCTGCACCTGCAACCCTGGGAGAGTTAACTTTTTGTATAAAAGAGAGATTTTGCAAATTTTTATATTTTTATGCAAAAGATGGATGGAAAAAATAAATAATTGCCTCATCTCAGCAGAGCAACAATTAGTGCTTTTAAAACAAAAGACTTCTGTGACTCTTGCTGGGGACAATCCTCCAGAGAAAAGCCCTTCGCTACTTTGACCATGAGTTCTTTTGGGTGCAGGGCTGTCCTTTATATGTCTCTACCTGTCCATGGTATGGTATGCTGGCACTGCTCCCCTAGCATTGGTCCTCCTTCCATGTAACACAGAGTAGCAACAGCAAACTCCCTAGTGCTTCATGAGATCTCCATGAAGTAGAGCACAGTGGGGATGAAATCTTTAGGGGGCTATCACAATACCAATAATCATTAATAAGAACTGGTCCGGCATGGGCAGCAGTAACAGCAGTGCACACTGCCCATGCTCTGCCTTGCCATGGTGACTCCATCATAACTCAGAAGCACCCCCTGTAGGCATGAAGGGTTTTATTCCCTATGGGCCATTTCAGAAGAAGCCCTGCTCTGCTCAGCAAGGCCCCAACTGAGAGACCAGCCACAGAAGGAGATTTTAGTGGGAAACATCCGCACCCAGTGGGAACTGGCCTGGGACCTGCCACATCCATCTCGCATCAGCACTAACCAACCATTGGGTGGGACATTTGCATGGCATAGGGAATGGTCACATCTGGACATTCAAGGGGGGAAACAGAGACAAGAAGAAACCAAATGACCAGGATATGGGATCTTGCTTTCTTCCACTGCATCATGCTGCCTCTGATGTCCTGCAGCCTTCTACTCTTCCATAGCAGATGTGAGTTGAATTAGAGAAGCCACAGGATAATGAAGAGATCCTAGGGCATGTAAGCAGGTTACATACCTTGGGAGTTGGGGCTTCTGGTGAAACTGGGAGAAGGAACTGCATTTATTTCAAGCCTCTCCAAATGGAGGGTTGTCAGTGACATGCACTGCCTTTCTTTGCTAGGTCACTTTTAAATCCAGCCTAGTGCCTCATAGCAAAGCAGAGCTAGCTTTAATTCAGATGGCATGAGTCCCAGGAACAGTCTAGCAGGATAGAGCTGGGTGCTGGTTACTTTGCCCTGCTTCTCAGTCCTCATGCCACCTCAGGGCCTTTCCACTGTGCTCGAGTCTCTTCTGACACTGCTGCATAGATGTAATTTGTGGCTTCTCTCTCAAGCAGATTTCCTATTAGCCTTGATTGCTGGCAGCCACTGGGCCACACAGGAGGTTTTAGAACTGCCTTGCTCTCATTGGCAGCTGATTTAGACAATCAGCTCCGGTGACACACTCTTATTAATGCCAGAGTTGCTCTGCTGCAAAAACACACAGTGACCTTAAATAACCAACACAAGATGCTTTAACTAATAACAGAGAGGGAAGAGATGAAATGCCCACAGAATATCAGCAGTGCCCAAGTGTCCAGCAGTCTTACTCCAAGCTTCCATTTCCATTCATTTCAAATGTGGCTGCAGTGCACATGCCCATAGTGGGAATCAGTTCTCTTTGCAAGCACTCTGCACCAACCCTTGAAAATAATGGAGCTAAATGCAAATCTGGAGCTGCCAAGTGGCACCCAGCATGCAAACAGCCTGGTTTCTATTGCTTTCTCTGCCCTACACAGAGTAATTTATTGAAGACTGTGCATTTAATGTTCCCCTACCAATCTCCATTATAGTCCATTTGCCAGCCCATCAAGGAACGTAATGCTGTTTCTTTGGGCTGCTATTGATGTGGCAGATGGCTGAAATAAAAAGGGAGGCCAAAGTTTACAAAGGTGGACGGCATCAAACACCATGGACTGGATTCTCATCTCTGTTGCAGATTTGGGTTGTTGCAGTAACTCTCATTGACTTCAGGGGAGTAACGCCATAATTTCACCAGTGTAAGACAGATCCAGCCCTGTGGTCAGGTTTCAGAGTGAATTATGGTCAAGTAGTTGACTAATGGGACTTAGATAGCTCCATTTTCAGCCTCTGTGACCAGATGTTATCGATTTCCCCATCTTTGAGTACTTTGTCATTGTTCTGTTGGAGAAAGTTTGGGGAATGAGTGCCCTTTTCAGAGATGAGGCTGGTTTGATTCAAGGCCCAAATTGTTTCTAAATCTGGTTCTAAAATTGAGCTATTTATTTTCTTTTATTCCTAAAAGATGAGAAGAGAAAGGGAGATGTCCAGAAGATGAGAGACACAAGTGTTGCCTCAAAAACGTTTGTGCAATGCGGCTGAAGACAAGGTGATATGGAGCCAGTGGTGGAGGCTCTGACTCTCCTGCTTACTCCTCTGCTCAGGTATGGCATCCCATCCACTACTTCTATAACCCCAGCTGAAAGCGGGGGTGTTGTCTAGAGCTTGGGGTGTTGGAGGAGGCAGCTGTTTTCCAGGGTTCCATTCACAGCTCTGCCCTGGATTCAGTCTGGATTTGGTTCCTCCTACGTGCAAGCAGACCCTAGTCGGGTCAAAATCCCAAAGAATGATCCAAGCCAAACAGCCCGTACAGTTTGCCACAACCAAGCTAACCACTCTCCACAGCAAATGGTGTTGCAGGGAGGGATGTGGCTACCATCATGTGAGCCATCGTGTCCAGCCACTTCTGACTCCCACCATGAATGACTAGCTGCGAATCACAGCTGGGTCAGCTACAGGCAGCCTTTGGCAGAAGTCCATCTAATGCCCTGTGAAGCTTTTGTGAGACACTTTAGGCCTCCCTTCCCTTTCCCCCCCCAAAAGTTTCCACTCAGGTGAAGAACCTTAATGTTACCTGGATTGAAAATTATTTTCTTTTTTTATGGCACTAATTTGTCTGGGCTGGAGGCCTATACAAAAACCCCTGGTTTTGTGACCCAGCCATCTTCTGCAGGCAGCGTTGAACTGATCCCACCGTAACTCCCTAGTGAAAGTCAGACACCAAGCAGCCAAAGGCCAAGCTGAACAATAAAAAAGAAACGGGTACAATGAAAGGACTCCTTGGCTTTCATCTGTTCCAGCCTGCAGCTGCATATAAACAACTGGCCTGCACCTTGATTGTCCCAATCCCCAGGACAGTCCATACTGACTATAAAAAAAAAAAAAAAAAAGCACTTGTCTGCAGCTTTCCAGCACCTGTATCTGGTGCTCCTACATCAATCTTCAGTAGGGTAATAGAGTTTCCCCAGCACTAGCTTGGAGATCCAGTGATGCTGCATTGTCCTTGCTTTCTCATCTCCCAGCCAAGACACCTTCAGAGACATTGGCATGGGTCTTGTTTCAAATGTCTCAAGAAATGGCAATCCCATCTTGTGCTGTCCTTGGAGTAACTACTTCATCCTCTTGCTGTTAAGAATGGCTCACTGTTATGCCTCTGAGATGATCTCCAGCCAAGATATTCTGTAATTATACTAAATTAAAAGGGAGAGTGACTGGTTTCACCCAGTTCCCACTGTGCTGTCTTGAATAAGAAGTGCTAAGGTCTCCCTGTTGGAACAGATGGCTAGCTTGGGTGTAGAACACATACTGTTGTGGGTCTCTTTGGATAGCATAGGGTCTCCCGTTCTGTATGATACCTGTTCCTGTGCACGTTACAATCCCTGTGCTGTATTTTTCTGCATTGCTCTCAGTTGTGCATCTGGTTTCCCAGCTATTATTCAGGCCACATTCCTGCAGCTCTGCTGACCTCTGCTGGCTTGGGAAGGGCAGGAAGGGACAGGGAGAACAGGTCCCTATTTTCAAAGTACTCTTTGCCTCTGCATTGCCCTGATGCCAAAAAGAGCCTCTGATCTCTGGCGAGGACCACCCCACCCTGCTCAGCACTTTGCAAGTGTTGCCATTCTTTGTGTGAGTGAACTCACCAGCACTCTATGCTATTGCACTGATCCTCATCCAGATCCCGGACCCCTACAGAGAGCTTTCCTTTGTAGGTGCAGGGATCTGCCTGTGTGTATCCAGCTGAAGGAGCCTGGGGGAACACTCAAAGCTATAAATATAAGCATGTATTCGTTAAATGGGATTTACAGAGAGGAGCTATCTCTGTCCCTCTTTCTTCTTCCTTCTTGTCACGGTGGCAGGACTTCCCGGGGTCATTTTTGCTCTGAGTAGTTGATCTCCATGCTCCTCTCATCTTGGCTGAAGTATCTCTCATTTATTGGTGCCTGTTCCCTGCTGTGCCTCTTTTTGCTTAAGAGAATTTGTCCGGCAATTAGCCTGCAATGACAAACAGTCCATACTTCACAGCCTGGACCTAGTATATCTTAAGAGCTTAAGATATGGATGAAGGCTCTGACTGACAGCTTCTCAGGCCCAATGGAATATACTGTACTCATCTGTGATGGAGACAGAGCTGTCTTTGGGGACCAGTCCCCACCTGTGGAACAAACTCCCTCAAGAACTGAGTCTCAGACCTCCTGACCTTCCATTCCAAGGGCACTTCTTCCACCCATCTGCTCTATTATGAACACCTTACAAAAAAAACACCCTGCTAAAATATATTATTCCCTTGCACAAGAGACAGGCTGAGAGAGAAGAAACCCCATAGGACATATGTGAATCACATTACTCTGCAGTCTTTAATCTAGAAGACATAGGAGGTAATGAAGCCAGTATGAGACTCTCCATAGAACAGAACAGGCTGCTCACTCTGTGAAGTAAATGAGATTCTTCACATCCTGGCCTAAACTGCTGGGCAAATCCCAGCACATTTGGAACAGCATTTGACTGACTGTTCTTAGCCATTTAGGCTGCCAGTTAAGTATCCCTAGCTCTGTATTGAGCACATGCGCAGTTGCTGACACAGCAGTTGGGACCATGTTATGAAGCAGCAGGGCAGAGATGAATGGCAGACCAAATGAAGCATAAGCCAGAGGAGACGTATGCTAACATGGCCACCTCTTCTGCTGATTCAGGACAAAACAATACATACGGCAGTAAAGAGGAGAATTAAACGCAGCCTGGTACAGACAGTTGTACTAAAGCTGCAGAGATCCCTGTTTTTTTTGCTGGAATATATTTGTTAATGATATGCCCAGAAGTGAACGCAGTATTGCATAGGTAATTACATCAGACGAGGAATATCACTTTCCAGCTCCATAACTTGGTTTGTCTAGATATATACCCTAGATGCATGGAACACAGGGATTCCCACGCTGGCTGGATCATGGCCGAGGTTCACCACATTCACTATCCTCTCCCTGATAATGTCTATCTCCAGATGGTTCAGAGGAAAAGATGACCCCCCCCCCCCCCCACAGCAGACAAAGCTGAGAAATTCTACCCCTAGCACAAAGCCATCCTTTGATCTCTTATAGATACTGGCTTAAACTCAGAAGTATAAGTTTTAATATCCTTTCCAGCGCTTTTGCTGTAATTAATTGTAATGTTGAGTATTCTCAATATTCAACACATATCCAGCTCTTCCCTGACTCTGGCTAACTGTTCAACCTCCATAAATCCCTGCAGCAATGAGCTCCACAGCTGAATCATGCTATGGGGAAAAAGTACTTCCTAATATGTATTTTGAATGTCTCACGTTTTGGCTCCATAAGCCAAGGCAAAAAGACCTTCCGGATCTCTCTCCTTTCCATCCTACATTATTTCACATGCTGTGGTAGAACCTAGCTTATTTGTACCCAGTGGTTTGAAGCCCACTTCATTTAGAGCAGGTTGCCAAATTCAGAAAAAGCCTCTCCACTGTTTGCTGCTGCTTTTACTTCTCTTCTCAGGTGGAGCACATCAAACCTACACAGCTGGTTGGAGAAATCAGTGCCCCTTGAAATAAAGTGCAGCAAACAGCTGGAACACCTCAGCAGTCTCACACAGCTGTTTGCTGCAGCTCTGAGCATTCCTGGATACGTTGCAACCCTGATCTTTTCAGAGAGGTAGGAACCTCACCCTGAAAAGCATCTGGGTTCCCACTGTACCACCTAAGGCAGCCAATCCCATTATTCTGTTTCTCTTTTCAGTAGTTTTTCCAGGTCCTTGAACTTTCCAATTGTATTTCTATGACTGCTTCCATGTTTGCCATCTCATTTTGGAGATAGAGCAACCTGTCCTGCACACAGCATCCTGGCAATGCCATAAAGGTACGTGTGTTTTCTTTCATTCTATTCTTTGTGTAGCCAACACTATGTTAGGATTTCTTGAACAAAGCCACACATTAATGCTTTTTTGATCTGTCTGTGGTAATTGCCCAGCGACCATTCTTAAACTGACCTAGAACCCTACGAGATACATGTGGAGCACGTCCCGTGCTCATTACTTGTTATTTCTCCATGTTGTATGTTATCTGCCATTGTCTTGCCCATTCACCTAGCACGGTTAGGTCTTGGTTGAGCACACTTTAGTGGGCCTGAATGGCTGAGTGAACCTGTGGGGAATATGCTTGGCGTGGCAGCCCGACAGTTCCTACTGCAGCATGGAAACAAGAGCAGCTCCGAGCTTCCCTCAGGCCCTTTGGGTGACCTCACCAGGTGCTACTGTGGACCCGACTGGGGCCTTTGTCCTTCCCTTAGGCCAATGGGGGCTAATGAATGAGTCCCACATTCTTCCCATGTGCCATTTTCATCCACTCTCCAGCCCGAACTGCTACTCTGCTTTCTGCCCAACCTGCAACTGCTCTGCTTTCTTCCCTGTGCGCTAACATTGCCAACTCTCATGATTTTGGTATTGTTCCTGAAGTCTGTGCTTTTGGAATGTGAAAAACTTGGCTTTTTCGTGTGTGTGTGTATATGTGCATGTATAAAAAATAACAGTTTTTTTCACATTCTCCAAGTCTGATCTGCTGCTCTGCTTTCTGTTCTCTGCTCCCCGGGTGCCACACATGACCCCCATGCTACATGTTGGCCACCCCTCCCCCGGACCCGTCCACTCTCCCGGTGGCTCCAGCCCAGCTCTGGCAGTGGGGGCTGATGCAGTGGCTCCCAGAGCAGAGCCCCTCCAGGGCTGGTCCCACTGCTGGGGGTGGTTGTACTGGGCTGGAATCCTGCAGGAGCAGCACCCTAGAGGCAGAACCTGGCACTGCAGGCAGCGCTCCGACCACCCCCGCCAGGGCCCTCCCATGCTCTCATCAGGACCCCATTTTATAGCTGGCTAAAATATTTGCCTTAATAAAATAATACGTGACTAGCCGCGCCCTGCCTGCGGTTTGAGGCGTCTTTCTCTCGCCGTGCCCTAGAGCTTCGTCTCTTTTTGTGGGGGGGTATGTGTGTACATACACACATCTACATTACCATTTCTAGTCAGGCGGTAGCATAGACGGCCCTGTGACCCGTTGCTCAAAATGGCGGCGCGCTCCTGGGAGGGGTCCTCCAGGGGTCGCCCGGCGCGAGAGGGGGCAAGATGGCGGCGCCCATGCTGTCGGCGGCGCGGGCCGGGGCGCGGGCGTTCAGCACCGCTGGTGAGCGCTTGCCCCGGGCTCCGCGGCGTTGAGGGCGGCCTGCGGCCGAGAGTTACCCGGGGGGTTGAGATCTCGGGCGCCTGGGTTCTCTGCAGCCGCGAGGAGACTCCGCCTGTACGGATCCGTCGTTATACCACAGTTATTATGTGATTATATTCTGCCGGGCCCATGCCGTGGTTCCCCTGCTTTAGCAGCAGCTGGTCAGGGTGTTGGGTTGCGTTGCGTCAGGGCTGACATCTTACCCAGACTTTGGGTTAGGGTTGGCCACGCTTTGGGGCAGGCCTGAAAACACCGGCGACTTGTCAGATGTTGAGGGGTGGGCGGCAAGCATCCTCCACCCCCACCCAGGGCTTCAGATGCTTCCAAATCCTTTGGCTGGTGTCCTACATGCAGGCCCAAGGCTGGAGGTTTGGGGTTCGTATGCCCCCAAGTTGGCCTGCCCTTGGCTGTACGGCTGCAGGAGCAAGCTAGGGACGAGTCTCCCATTTCTGTAAAGACGGCGTCTAGCGAAGATCTTCCCACTGGAAGTGAAAGTGGGAGACTAAATATGCGTTTCCTCAGTCAAGGTACTGCTACTTCTCGCCAAGAAAGTGGTTTTCTCCTGCGACTAGAAAAACCACCTTTGTGGTCATGATATTTCCCTGCCAGATAAGGATTGTATGGGGTGGTTGGGTTAGGGATGATCCTGCCTCAGAGTGGTGGGGTTGGACTAGATGACCTCTGGAGGTCCAACTTCTCTGTGATTTAAGTGTGATGCTTTCAATTTAAGTAAGTACACTTACGAACACATCTGGAAAGAGAGAAGAATTAAAAAAACAAAACAAAATAACTCCTAGGCTTGCTCACACCTCGCCATGATAAGCACAGCATGAACGTATGAGTCCAACGTGTTGGGAATGTAGAGTAGGAAATGTCCGAGTCGGATTCGTTGAAACTTTGCTACTGAATATTTTGCTCTTCTCTAGTTCCTTCCTTGTAAGGATGCTAGTTCGCTTCTCAAAGATTAACTGGGTAATCAGCGCACACTTCTTTCAGTAACTCCATTATCATTGAAACTTTAAGAGGGGGAAATTGAAGCAGTAGTGGTTAAGCTACTGGTCCTTCTTAACGTTGTACTGTGGGGTATTCAGCTCAGCTGTCCTAATATCCAAACCCCTGTTTTAGCCACAAGACCCTTTACACTTTGGTACTTTTTGTACAGTCTTAAATTTGTCTACTTGATATGGGTTTGTCACTGTTTCTGTACAATGAGTCTCCCATGTTTCCAGGTGCACTCTGTAGAAGGACAGCCCCTCGTGGGCCAATGCCTAATGAAGATATAGATGTCAGCAATTTGGAAGCATTGGAGAAATATGAAAGCTTCACGCGCTATTTCAAAGCAGCTGAAAAAGAGAGTAAGAAGACGCCTTGGTGGAAAACGTACAAGAAGTACATAGAGTCAGAACAAGGTACTTCTTGGAGAGTTATGTTTATGTAACTTATTCTCGATGGAAGGGAGGTGGTTGATAAGCCAATCAATCTGGAAGTAGCAGCAAAACTCTTCCGTAAGAAGATGACCAAATGCTTTCACTGAGGCTTCACTTAAGAATACTATGTCCATTTTTATGTACTGTACTTCCAAGAAAGATGTGGGCAAGTTGGAAAGACTCCAGAGGAGAGCTCTGAAACTTATTAGAAGTCTAAAAAACATGACCTACGAGGAATACTTGGAAAAACTGGGGTTATTTAGTCTAGAAAAGAGACGACAGAAGGGAAACTCCTGTAGTCTTTACCTACAAAAGCAATTATTATAAAGAGGATGGTTTTCTGTGTCCATGGAGGGGCAGGACAAGAAATCAGGGTCTTAAATTGCAATAAGGAAGATATAGGTTAGATATTACCTATCTGCAATCTGCACAGCCTCACCAGGGGAGATGCCTTGTTGGACCTGGTGCTTGCCATGGGCGACAACCTGGTGAGGGGGCTGCAGGTGCTTGACCACCTGGGCGACAGCGATCATCGCCTGCTGGAATTCACCATCCAATGCAAGATGGCAAAGGCCTATAGCAAGACAGCAGCCCTAGATTCCAGGAGGACAGACTTCTC